TGAGCCCTCTCGCAAATTAAAAAAAAAAGTAAAGGAAAAAGGTTTTAAATATCCATCATTATAAAGTGGCGGCGAACTACAGGGGTCTGTGGGGAGGTGCTGGAACCCACCTGGCGTATCAGGGAAGAATACGTAACCACTAGCACTGCTTAAAATTGCTCCCATGTGGTATAAGGTGATAAGAAAAAGAAGATAGACTAAAAAAATTTTTTTTGAGATATTTCTGCTACAGAGTATGGGCACTCGCCAGAGAGATAGAGAGAGACAGAGAGACAGAAAGCAAGAAATCACCCCCCACAGGGAGGATGGCCATGCCTCTTGGGATTTTGGGCACGCACGCATATATGTCTGGTGTGAGTTTTAAGCTACAGGGTCAGAGACTTGAACCACGATTGACTATGTAGAAGTCCAGCGACGTAAACATTATGCCAACTGTTGGTCCCAAGAAAAAGAAGATAGACTTTTATTGATTTGTTATTGTTTTAAAATTATCATATTGACAGATGATGCATCTCTATTTTTTTGGCAGGGGGAGGTTTTTGCTATAGGGCACATGTGCTTGCCAGAAAGACAGAGAGAGATAGAGAGACAGAAAGCGAGAAATCACCCCTCTCCCCAGGGGGGAAGACCATGCCTCAATCCCTTCTCCTCTAGGGATCTTGGGCATGCACGCACACACATCCAGCGTGAGTTTAAGCCACTGGGCCCAGGACTCAAACCACGGTCGACTACATGGGAGTCCAGTGATATAGCCATTACGCCAACTGCTGGTCCCAGACAATGCATCTCTGTTTTTTTTTTGGAGAGGGTTTTGCTAGGGTGCCAGAAAGACAGAGACAGAGAGACATCCCCAGGGGGGATGGCCATGCCACAATCCATTCTCCTCCATTCTCCTCTCAAGATCTTGGGCACACACACACGCCCAGCGTGAGTTTAAGGCACCGGGTTCGGAACTCGAACCACAGTCGACTACATGGGAGTCCAGCGACATAGCCATTACGCTAACTGCTGGTCCCGACAACGCATCTCTGATTGTCTACAAGAGTGTGGAAAGACTCCCTGCCACACTCCCCTCTTGGTATACCCCCCTGACACCATCTTCTGCGGTGGAACGAATACATCTGTGTGCACTGACACCTCTACCACTCACTGTTAAGAGAGGCTGGTGGAAGAACATGGAGAATGAGATGCTAATTTTTCTAAAACACAAATACACTTAGTGAACTAGATTTCAAAATGTATACAGATGCACAAAGACCGGCGTGATTCCTACCAAATACGCTGGTGGTCATTTCCGGGGAGATGACAGGGACTTGGTCAAGAGGAACTGGATCTGTATGTTTTAATATTTTTTACATGATATACTATTTATTTCTCTTACACGATACTAATTTATTTATATAACTAAAAAGTTAAGTGAACCATTTACATTTACAATTTAATCTATCTTTTTGGAGATGAGAACGGTGCTAGTAAAACCTGAATTGAAGGGAGAACGCAGAGGGCTAGGGTTTGATGTCGCCAGAAAAGCAGCACTATCGCCACCTAGTGGGGAGGAGAAGGCACTGCCATTTTGCTCAAGGTCACTCCCACGGAAGCAGAGGTAACAGGGGGCTCCCACCTTTCTGCTGGGCTGTGTCTTCCCTCTATTTGGAGCTTTGCAATGCTGAACTCTAGAAGATAACCCTCAAGCCCATTCACAATAAGTAGGGAACTTCAGGAGCCTAGTTGTGGTGGAGACGTGGCTTTTTCTTGTGAGTGGATTGTGCAAAGAGTCCTCAGGAAGAGGCCTTGAAGTCACCTAAGATCTCTGGACAAGTTTTCCCCCAAGCTAGATGATAATGACTTCCTGTCGAACCAACCCTTTAACTTTTCTTCTATGATTGTCCCGATTCCATGAAGCCTATCTTTAATAATTTTCTATTTCACCAAGGAGAAAATGAGAGCTTGGATCAAATGAAAGACTTCCCCTAGGCAAAGTATGAGCAGGTCAGGGAGGACGGACATCGGATTCCGTGACTTGAGAACCTCTGAGTCCGCACCTCTCTCCTGAGGGCCTCAGGCTGCCGCACTCTGAGACCCTGGACCTGCATGAGCTGCTCACAGCTCTGGGGGACAGTTTCTGGCCCGTGGAAGCCCAGGTTTCTCTCTCCATGAGCTAATCCAGCTGAGGGATTTCTCAGGCACCACCCACACCACCTGGCAGTGTCCAGAGTTAAGGCCCATCCTGGACAAGCCTCTACCAACGAGATAGGAAACTGTAGAGAGGTGCTTTTCGCCCCCTGGTGGGGCAATTCTAAACTGCGTCCTGTATGGCTTCTCAGAGGGTGGCTAGTGGGATGGAACCCTATGGACTATAGTCCTATAGGCTATCGCTGCCTATAGACTGCCTTAATCAGCCCTTCCCACCTCTCTGTCCCACCCTTGCGCTTCCTGGGATCTCCTTCCACATAAACTACCTACATCCAATTCCTTCACTCAGGGTCTGCTTTGTTGTTTTTTTTTTAAAGAATTATTTTATTAAATTTTATTTACTCATTCATTTATTTTAATTTATCAACAGAGAGAGAGAGAGAGAGAGAGAGAGAGAGAGAGAGAGAGAGAGAGAGAGAGAGAGAGAGAGAGAGGAAAGGGAGAAGTCAAGCCACCAGGTCCAGGACTTGAACCATGGTCAGCCATGTGGGAGTGTCCAGCACCTTAACCACCATGCTACCTGCCAGTCCCCAGGGCCTGCTTTGGACAGAACCCAAAGTAAGGGTGCAGACATGGCAGCTGGGTTCGAGGGCCGCAATGACGTTCAGGGAAGTGAGTCGGGTTTTCCAGGAGTGTAAAAGGTCATGTTGACTATAAGGTGGTCAATGCCTACGTACCTACTGAAGGGTGCGGTGACATAACTAGATTTTTCATCAGGCTGAGTTTTAAATACTGCCACCCATTGCTTTCAGGAGGTCATTTAAGCTTTCCAAGTCCCACGTAATACTTCTGAGTTGAGGAGACACCGTGATGGGGAGGCCAGGGTGGGCTCCATGAGGTTTGGGATGGGGTCCACGGTGATGCAGCGCTTCCCCTGCAGAGCAAGGGCAGGGAACCGCATGGCCAAAGGCTAAGGGTTGGGAATGAGCAGGGTGCCTTTGGACCGTCAAACCCAACTGACCAGGAATGATCTGAAAGTGTAAGCAGAACTCTGTGTGTGTCTGTGTGCGTGTGTGTGTGTGCAGGTGCATTTTTCTAGGGAGGGTGTTCATCATTTTCATCACCTTTTCAAAGGGGGTTCATGAATGACACTACTGGACAGAGCCGCGGAGGACCCTGAGACGAGGAAGAATTGCAGTATGTGTGTAAACCGAGCCCTGAGCTGTCCCATGGAAACCACACCCCCTGAGCTCTCATACCAGGCCTAGGACGGAGCTCAGGTTTTAAAACATCACTTCATTTACTTGTTACAATCAACTCTTGGGGTAAATTCAAACACTGTCTCCATTTTACGGATGGGGCAACTGAGAAGGACGCAAAAACCTTGACCAAAGTCACAGAGTTGGATTTGAGCTGGGGTAGCCAGACTCTAGAGTCTTCACCCTTCGCCTTAAGCCAGTAGCCCTCCAACTTCAGTGGGATCACCTGGAGGCTTGTCATAACAGACATGGCAGGGCCCAAGTCCCAGAATTTCTGATTTAGTGGGGCCGGGGCCTGAGAATCGGCATTTCTTTCTTTCTTTCTTTTTTTCTTTTTTTTTTTTTTTAGAGGTTTTTGCTATAGGGCGCGTGCGCTCGCCAGAAAGACAGAGAGAGACAGAGAGACAGAAAGCGAGAAATCACCCCCCAGGGGGGATGGTCACGCCACAATCCCTTCTCCTCCATTCTCCTCTCGGGATCTTGGGCACGCACGCACACACGTCTGGGGTGAGTTTAAGCCACCGGGTCCGGGACTAGAACCGTGGTCGACCACATGGGAGTCCAGTGACTTAGCCATTATGCCAACTGCTGGCCCCAGAATCAGCATTTCTAATGGGCTCCCAGGTGGTGCTGATGCCGCTGATCTGGGATCACTCGTCACAAGCCACACTGAATTCTCATCTCCAAAGAGGAGGACATGGAGCCCCAGAGAGTGGATGTGACTTGTCTAGACAGCAGCAAAACCAAGGAGTGACTCTGGGTCTGCAGATTCCACACCAGGGCTCTCTGTCACTCCAGCGTGGAGGAAGGCACAGCCCCCTTACAAAGTGGGCGTCTGCATGCAAGCCTAAGTTCGATTACCTGCTGAATGTCTGGGTCCTGAGGATGGGTGCTGGGGGAAGAGGGTTCCTTGCTTGGTTCCTCTGAACCTACTTGGGCCCTTCTCCACCTCCTGGCCCGCCGGTCTGTGGCATGGGGAGTGTCCTCCTGCTCGCTGCTGTCCGACGTCTCACCACTGGCCATCTGGGGATTGAAGTTCACATCCAGCTCCCCCTGCAGGCCCATCTTCTCAGCCATGGGGTTCCTGGGCGCCTTCCTCTGCAACCAGGACAGTCTGGCCCGGCGCCCAGCTTCCCGGGAAGAGCTGGCCGAAGAGGTCTCTGAATCAGAGCACGTAGCCTCAGGGTTGCAGGAGGCCCCGGAAGTGGGGAAGGCAGCTGAGAGGCCTTGGCTGGGCCCCTCTGCCTGAATGGGCTGAGGCTGGGGGTTCCTAGGCAGGCCATGGGAGGTGGTCGGCCACAGGGGAGTCCAGTGACTTAGCCATTATGCCAACTGCTGGCCCCAGAATCAGCATTTCTAATGGGCTCCCAGGTGGTGCTGATGCCGCTGATCTGGGATCACTCGTCACAAGCCACACTGAATTCTCATCTCCAAAGAGGAGGACATGGAGCCCCAGAGAGTGGATGTGACTTGTCTAGACAGCAGCAAAACCAAGGAGTGACTCTGGGTCTGCAGATTCCACACCAGGGCTCTCTGTCACTCCAGCGTGGAGGAAGGCACAGCCCCCTTACAAAGTGGGCGTCTGCATGCAAGCCTAAGTTCGATTACCTGCTGAATGTCTGGGTCCTGAGGATGGGTGCTGGGGGAAGAGGGTTCCTTGCTTGGTTCCTCTGAACCTACTTGGGCCCTTCTCCACCTCCTGGCCCGCCGGTCTGTGGCATGGGGAGTGTCCTCCTGCTCGCTGCTGTCCGACGTCTCACCACTGGCCATCTGGGGATTGAAGTTCACATCCAGCTCCCCCTGCAGGCCCATCTTCTCAGCCATGGGGTTCCTGGGCGCCTTCCTCTGCAACCAGGACAGTCTGGCCCGGCGCCCAGCTTCCCGGGAAGAGCTGGCCGAAGAGGTCTCTGAATCAGAGCACGTAGCCTCAGGGTTGCAGGAGGCCCCGGAAGTGGGGAAGGCAGCTGAGAGGCCTTGGCTGGGCCCCTCTGCCTGAATGGGCTGAGGCTGGGGGTTCCTAGGCAGGCCATGGGACTGCAGGCACAGCTTGCTCAAGGCGTCGCTCCAGTCGAAGTCCTCCTCGCTGTCGGACCCCATCTCATCATAAGCAGAGGCCACACTTGAGGCCACTTCCAGGGCCTGAAAGGTCCCGCTCTTAGGTTTGGCCAGCAGGCGGGTGGGGGGCAGAGAACCGTCCTTCAGGGCCACCCAGTTGCCATCCGGGCTCTGCAAAACTTGGGCCAGGTCTGCAGGCAGAGGAGAGAGAAAGCAGAGAGGGGCTGTTAGCACTTCAGCAAGAAGTTGGCACTTGTCATCTCTCCCTGAACGGCTTGTGGGGGTGTTGGGGAGCAGCTGTCTTCAGGAAGACCAGGAGGGCACACCTACCTGCAGTATAACATTTACGGGTCCCCAGAGCTTCACAGACAGACAGAAGCTTGGCAGTCTGGATGCTGTTTCACACCTACCTGGGAGGATGGCCTCTTTGGTCTCAGAATTGTCCCATTCTTTTCTTTTCTTTTCTTTTCTTTTCTTTTTTGGAAAGGTTTTTGCTATAGGGCGCATGCACTCACCAGAAAGACAGAGAGAGACAGAAAGCGAGAAATCACCCCCAGGGGAGATGGCCACACTGCAATCCCTTCTCCTCCATTCTCCTCTCGGGATATTGGGCATGCACGCACATGTGTCTGGTGTAAGTTTAAGCTACTAGGTCCGGGACTTGAACCGTAGTTGACCACATGGGAGCCCAGCAACATAACCATTATGCTAACTGCTGGTCCCAGAATTGCCTCATTCTTGCCCTCAGCTGCTTGGAAGGGGAGAGAGGAGGCTGCAATAGGCTCTTTGACCTTGAGCTGTGGCTTGTGTCTCTTGGATCCCCAGTTCCCTCCTCGTTAACGGGAAATAATTCCACCACCCGCCCTGGCCTAACTCACAGGCTGACACTTCTGCGCTTGGCACTTTTACGGATCTGGCTCACAGCAGCCTTGTGAGATAGGGATGTACATCTATTTTTAATCCAAGAAGCAAGCCTCATTCTGGAAAAGCTTTATGGCCAAAAGTGGTTGGTGTGTTCTCTCACTTTACAGGCCAGGAAACGAAGATGGGAGAAGTAAGTGACTTGTCAGAGGTCGCAGAGCCCTCGGAGAGGTGCACCCTCCATTCCCCTCCAAGGCAGCTCAGGGTTGTAAACGGCACCGTAGGAGGCCCTGGGCCACTGCAAAGCATCGCACAAGGTGGGCCGGAGCAGTTTGCAATCTGTGGCTATGGTTTGGGTTGGTCTAAACTGAGCTCAGGTCTGCATCCTGGGAGACAAATGGAGGAGCCTCAGGGCTGCTCTGCCTGCTAGGGAGAGGAGGACAGGAGAAAGTTGTCTTGGATTGCTTTTGCTGAAGGCAAATGTGCCCAGGCAGTAGGACTGAGAAGACATGGTGCTCCTTGAGCTACGGGTACCAGCCTGGCCTATGGCCTTGGGCACAGCGGTTGCTAGCAGAAGCTGGTTTTTCACCAGGAACCTTGCAGAGTTTCCTGGAGACAGGTGATCTGGGGCCAGCCCTTTAGAGGGGGCCTCACTTTGTGTGTGGAAGTCAGCTTCTGGGCTTGAGGCCTCCGGAGGCCATAGCTTGGTTTCAGTAGGACCTTGAGGCAGGGTCCTGCTTCCTGCTGCTTATAACACAGACGTTTTCTACCCATTAAATGGTTCCTGCTCCAGATAACGAAATGAAAGTGATCAGGGTTTCCCAGTGTCGTCCGCAGAGCATTGTGTTTGCCGGGCTTGGAACTCAGACGTGGGTGGAACAGATGTTTCTAACTCGGTGACCCAGTTCCACTCCAACTGCCTGACTCCAGTCCAGACTGGCAGGACAGTGAGTTCCCTTTAAGAATCAAGAAATAGGGATTTCTCTGGTCCAGAAGGCTGCCGGGCTCCTGCCGTGGGCTGACATAAGCAGGTGCATCCGGGAAGCCTGAGGACACGTGGCCTGCCTTTCTCCTGCTGTTCCTCCACCTCCATCACCCTGCATGAAGCTCAGTGACCCCTCAAACACCTCGTCCCCTCGGCCCCCTTTTCCTACCTAGAGCACGCTCCCTGTCTCCCTGTGCAGACATGGCCTCCCCCTCTCTGTCTTTCTGGCGTGATGGCCTGGCCGGCTCACATCAGGATCATCCCAGTGTTTTACACACTCACCCACCCACCCCCACACACACTCTGAACCATCCCACAGATGACAAGGGCCTGAGGCTCTGGACCTCAGGCATCATTGTATTCTTAGAAGCAAATGAGCGCGTCTTGGCCCAGATTCGGTTGGTGCAGTGGAATGACCAGAAGTCCCTAAGTCTGAAGAACTGGGTGGAAACCACACTCAGACACCTAGCAGCTGAGCTTCAGGGCTCTCGCTGGTGCAAGGGGCCAAGCTCAGGGAGAGGGCATGGGGGTCAGAGGGCTGCTCATGGATGCTCACAAAGTGTGCCACGCATGCTCACTCGGGGCAGAGGCCTCCCTCTTTTTTTTTTTTTTTTTTAGGGGTTTTCGCTATAGAGCACGTGCGCTTGCCAGACAGACAGAGAGAGACAGAGAGACAGAAAGCGAGAAATCACCCCCAGGGGGGATGGTCACGCCGCAATCCCTTCTCCTCTATTCTCCTCTCGGGATCTTGGGCACGCACGCACACGCGCCCGGCGTGAGTTTTAAGCCACCGGGTCTGGTACGCGAACCGTGGTAGACTACGTGGGAGTCCAGCGACATAGCTATTACTCTAACTGCTGGTTCCTCAGAGGCCTACATCTTAAGAGCGCCCCCTACATTCTTACCCAGAAATGAGCGAGGCTGATTCACGCAAGGTGAAGAACGAGAGTGCTGGATTCAGGCACGTCCATGGGGAGTCCCATTACACTCCCGGCCTGTCCCTGGCTGTCAGTCACCAGCATTGTGACAGCACATGTGAAGCATCAAGCATACTGCCCACCACATTGAGGACCCTCAGCTAGACTTCTCCCCTTAGGCTGGGTTGTTGGAAAAGTCATGGCTCATTCTTGCCCAGAAAAACATAGAAAAATACGTCATGACTTTTCTAAGAATCCAGTATCTGTTCTCTTGTATCTATTTTTCCTTATATCTCCTATTTTTTTATATAGCCATTGGATTACAGTATTAATAGGTAGCAACTGGTGATGGATAAGGACCCCTGTACTCCCTAGGCATATGTATAGAAAAAATATATACATCTTATAGTTGCTATGCAGTTTTACGTGTTAATGTCTCTATAGCAACACTATTCATGGACTATGTGGACATTCGAAAGATCGGCTAGTTGGAGTTGTTAGAACCACTCATGCTCACGGGTTCTGAGAAGCATTTCTGTTTTGCTGGTTCTCTCAGTGCTGTGTCCTGAGGCCATCCATCACTTGGTGGTATGGGTTTCCCAGGAACACGCGGGTTCACTGCGAAGCTACAAATGGCCAGTAAGTGGCAGTGCTGCTCTTCCCTGGGGGACCCCACCCCAACCTTGTCTTGGCACTTCAACACAAGCTGTCTAGGCTTCCACCAGCCACACTGGGCACCTCTTTCTTTCCTTCTTTCTTTTTTTTTTTTTGGAGATATTTTTGTTATAGGGAGCATGCGCTCGCCAGAGAGAGAGAGAGAGACAGAGAGACAGAAAGCGAGAAATCACCCCCCAGGGGGGATGGCCACACCGCAATCCCTTCTCCTCCATTCTCCTCTCGGGATCTTGGGCACGCATGCACATGCGCCTGGTGTGAATTTAAGCCACCGGGTTGGGACTTGAACCCCGGTCAACTACATGGGAGCCCAATGATGTAGCTATTATGCCAACTGCTGGTCCTGAAAGGCTTTCCTTTTTAAATTGGACTTCAATTGGACCGTGGTTTATTTTCTTGGTTGTCTACCCTGCCTTCCAACTATGACCCTGAGCTCCTTGAAGGCAGGGTCCCATCTTCTTCACTGCTCTACCCCAAGCCTCTGGACAGCTCTGGGCCTAACTCCTGGGCACCGAAGACTACTTGTTATTGAACATGGGCATCAACACGCTGCAGGGACAAGTGGGGTTCTTAATATGCAGCTCTCAATGGACCCTGCTGTCTATGGCTTCCTCTGGGGCCATAAGAGAAAGCCGAAGAAGGAAATCCCTTGGTAATGCCACGCAATGCCTGGCTCCAAGGTTGACTGTGTGGTAAAGGTGGTCTCTGGACTGCAACTCCCACTACGTAGTGAGATGGGATTCAGCCCGTGGCCAACTCTTCTCATCTCCTGCCTTTGGCAATCCTAGACTGCCACGTTCCTCCAGGGAAAAGGGAAGTGAACCAACTTTTATCTCAGCAAAAAAGTCATCCTCCTTAGCAAAAACATAGATGGCTCCTGGGATAACTCACTCTGTGGAAATCTCGCTTCTCAAACTGCATTATCAGACCTGCTCAAAGCTGTACCTAGACCTGGGCTCTCTTAGTCCCTTGGGCACACCCCTCTGGGACCCTGTTCCCTCATCCCCTCCTTTCTCCACACCCCTGCTCTTTCATTACTGTGTAGACAACCATCAGTGAGCAGCTCAAGGACAATGACAATCCCCGATCTTCATTTCTCCAACAGTGAGCATACTCCGAGTATACCACAGATGATCAATTAAGGTCTATCAAGTGCAAATGTATTTGGGGTTAATCCAGTAACTGCTGTCGAGATTGAAAGTGGAGTTACTATGGTTTACCCAAATCATAGTGTCCCTAAGGCTGATCCCAACTGAGCACCAACAGAGTCCTGAGCCAGCTCTTCTCCTGAGGCATAAACACAGCTGCTAAAAATAGCTCAGTGGCTCTTAACCTTCTACAAAGCCTTCCACCTCTGGGCCTCCTCTGTTCCACATTTCCGCTCTGCTGAGGCTAAGCCATGCCTCTGGGAATAGCTTGCTTCCTGCCAAACTTATCAGACATCCCTCAAGACCTCAGGGGCGGGCATGGGCATTTTTAGTGGAATAGTCTTTCAAATAACCATGAGTTTTCTACTCATGTGCTTTTAGTTTTTTATTTTAAATCTTTATCCTGAGAGATTTTTGAGCAGAGAATGAAATCTTTTTTCTGGTGACACTGTAGAACTAAACATTATGTTTACACACAACTGATAAGTTAGAAATGGGTGCTTGGGGACCAGCAGGTGGCGTCGTGGCTAGGGTGCTGGACAATCCCACATGGTCGACCATGGTTCAAGTTCTGGACCTGGTGGTTTGCTTTCTCACTTACTTTCTCTCTCTTTCTCTTTCTCTCTGTGTCTCTCTCTGGTCACATTAACAATAAATGAATAAATAAACAAAAATTAAGTAAATAATTCTTTAAAAAAATTGGGGAACCAGCAGTTAGAGTAATGGCTATGTCGCTGGACTCCCACATAGTTGACCATGGTTCATGTCCTGAACCCGGTGGCTTAAAACTCATGCCGGGAGCGTGTGCATGCATGCCCAAGATCCCAAGAGGAGAATGGAGAAGGGATTGCGGCGTGACCATCCTCCCTGGGGTGGGTGATTTCTCGCTTCCCGTCTCTCTGTCTCTCTCTGTCTGGCGAGAGCACGCGCCCTATAGCCAACAACCCATCCAAAAAATAAATAAATAAAAAGAAAAAAAAAAGAAAAAAAATTTTAAAAAATGGGTGCTTAATTTTATAAAAAATTCTTTACTCATTGCTGTTTTAAAAACCCAGTTCCTTTGCAAATTTATTATAAATGCTGGTCACCCAGTGGAGAAATGTTTTGTGAGATAAAGCATTCTATAGATGTTTTTATACTACCCTACAGATTTATCACTGTGTAGGCCTGAGTTTTGAAATGCCAGCTTTGGTCCGTTTTTATGGTGGAGTGACACTTATTAGCATGCAGTGGTGGGAAAAGGCTGCAGATTGGAGTCGTGATGTTTGGCTTCGAGAACGGACTCCGCTCACGTTAGCTATGGCGTCTGGGTCAAGTCACTACCTCCCTGCCCATCTTATCTGCTGAACAAGATGATGACAGTGTTTAGCAAGGTTGCTGGGGGCGAACATGAGTAATACGGACTCTCTATACTATAAATGACCTTTTTTTTTTTGAGAGAGAGAGGTTTTTGCTATAGGGCGTATGCACTTGCCAGAAAGACAGAGAGAGACAGAGAGATAGAAAGCGAGAAATCACCCCCCAGGGGGATGGCCTCGCTGCAATCCCTTCTCCTCCATTCTCCTCTCAGGATCTTGGGCACGCACACACACCCGGCATGAGTTTAAGCCACCAGGTCCGGGACTCGAACCGCAGTCGACTACATAGGAGTTCAGTGACATAGTCATTACGCTAACTGCTGGTTCCTGTACGATAAACGACTTTTAAAAATGAATTATTGGGTCGGCCCCATAGCCTAGCAGTGAGCCAGATCCCACATGACCGATAGCAGTTTGACTCTTGGCCCTGGTGGCTAGAAAAAACATGCTGGGAACACGGGTATGCCCCAAATCCTGACAGATGGAGAAAGGATTGTGATGTGACCATACCCCATCAGGGGGTCTTTCTCCCCCTCCCTCCCTCTCTCTCTGTCTTTCTCTGGCAATGGAAAAAGAAATGAATACAAGCTAATCATTATTTTTTATTTATTAAAGATCAATGATATGATATTCCTATGTGCCCTGTGGAATTGAAGAGTTCCTTCTCTGGAAGAACTAGCAATCCCTCAAGAGGGAAA